TCGTACTGGACATCGCTTTTGGAGGTGCGGGGGAAAGACAACAAACTATGCATCCCTGCGTGAGTCTCTGTCCCTGTGTGAGTCTGTGGGTCTCTGTGTGAGTCTATATGTTGAACTTCTTTCGCACCATACGTAGCCAACTGCACTAATCGGACAGACAACAAACTAAACACAAAAATCAGTTAGATATAAATTCGTTTTCAATCAAGATGATTTAAAAGTGCACAGCTCCAGTGGCTTCTTAATGTCAGAAGGAAGCGCGTTCCAGATGGTCGCAAGAGCGCATCTGAAAGTACGCGATGCAGTGACCATTTCTGTTCGATGGATAGCCAAGAGCCCCTGGGAGCATGACCGGAGTTTGCGTGATGATGGTTTATGGTCCTTGAGTATAAACCATACTGAATATCTGTGAAAAAGAGCTTCACAGCTCATAGGATTCCTCCAGTAGAAATACATATTCTGATTCTGGTTCTGATGATGCTACATTCACTCGTCATGTCACTCCTTTGTCAGTTTAACACGTAGGCTTTCGTGACCAATATTATCAAATTAAAACGTCATGCACTTGAATTGTAAATGTTGTGGGTTTACTATGCAACACACCGGGTGTGCTGAGCTAGTAACGAATTGGCACGTTTTGGTGAACGACACATTTATATTCACGTGATATAACCCAAAAAAAACCTTATGGATCACTCCTTTGCATCTCTCGCACTTATTTTGTACTTGCTCAAACAAATCCTTCTCAGTGTTCTCAACTGTTATCGTCCTGATGGTGTGCGCCGGCCAATTCTCGAGCGCCCAATGCTCCGAGCCCAACACAAACTCCAGCGTGATCACCGCCCCATTCACGATTCCGTTCAGGCTGAATTGTAATTTTCTCATCACACTCCACTCCACTCACTTCCCTCCACTTCATCCGCGCTTTGTTTAGTCTGCTCCCGATCTCCTCGTCAAATCTCCTCCCCCATTATCTCACATGATGGATACAAAAAAATGCTTTAAATTCCGTGCTGTGGGTATATGCATTGGCCGGACAGTTTCACTTGTCGGTTTATGCTTACAATAAAAAAACATATATATGTATAACAGGATAATGATTTTCATAATTAGCCCTTCTTTAAAGCAGAAAGACTAGGTAATTAATCAACAGCAGTGTTTCCAACTTACTACTGAATAGGTTCTCCTTGCTTGTGGCATTACCCCATAGTGCTATCATCACAGCTGTAATGCAGCAATGCATTTCACTCCCACGTGAGCTAAGATTTATAAAATTACACTATTTTACGAAGTTTAGACTTGGATTTGGAAAGGCGGAGAGACAGTCTCGGAATAGATCTATGGGTTCCGTTTGCTTTAATAGTTGTCCACTCCACTAGATGTCCCTTCTGTGTATCTTTTCTGGATTGTCATTCATCATGAAGGTTTTTTTGGGTAAGATCACGTAAATATGAATGTGTCGTTAAACCCACGACCACCCGACACAGCCAAATAGTAATGTTTGTTATGTCAACAAAACATGCTAATTTATTAGTAGTTCAGCACACTGGTATATAGGAGAGTAAACCCACAACATTTACAATTTGAGTACGACATTTCGCCGGTAATTACAATCAGCTTCATCAGGCTATAACCAAAATGTACTCTTCAACAAACCAGTGTGCTAAACTAGTCACTAATTGGCACGTTTTATTTACGTGACACACCTTACTAATTGGCTGTATCAGGTGGTGGCGGGTTTAATGACATTTATATACGCGATCAACCCAAAAACATCTATTATAGTATCGATAATATTGGTCGCGAAGACCTACTACGATGTGTTAAACCGGACTGTCTTTGCATTCCAAGTTCCAGTGCACCTCCTTCTTTTGCACGGCTGACGCAGATGCAGAGCAACGACTACAATTTCACATTCAGGTGGTCAAGCCAGATAACCACGTCAGTAGCAGCAGAGTATCGCTGCAATTTTGCCTTCGTATTTGGGGATCGGGGCATTGCGTCGTTACATGTTGTACAGTCTGTTCTTGATGACTACAGTCATACACTGGAAAGTTTTTAATTTTTCATTTGTGCATCAGGTATCCTCATCTCCCATGGTTTGTGCACAAGTTGTGCTCACACAGTGACATGCACGACGCAAGACTAATTGTGTTTCCAATAATGAACGTGACTTCTCGTATTACCATTTAGTCTCTAATACACATCTCTCTATCGTTGATTTCAGTTATTTCCAAGCACATAGCTTTCCTTGCCAACATACGTGGCTTTTTTAAAGCTTTTTTAAAGCATTTTTTTTATTCCCACCGTTTCTGATCAATATGGCTTCTTGCCGCCAGCGCGCACATTGACCAAAGGTGTTCCCACTTGATAATGCAATGGCGTTGGGCACTCGGTGACAATTCAAAATCGTCTCCGTCACCATAGATCGTAAACCATCTCAAGCAGTCGCCCAAGACAAAACGCGGTTCTCTCGCTCTCTCCAGCGGATTGTTGTCGACAGCGTAAACGGCAATCGTCGTCAGCGACTCGAACGTGACTTGAATTACGAGCGCTTCTATTCCGAGGCCCAACTTCAAACCGCTTCGCTCGCTCTCGTCGGTCGGTCGCTAATTACTCAGTGGGATATTAATGGTGCTCTTATAACGTCATCTCCAATCGGCGCCACCCACCGTCAAGCAGCCTACGGCAAAGTTTGTATTTTAATTCCATGGCACGGTTTTTAACGGCAGGTATTTCTAGACATTGAACAGCTGTCACCATTATGAAGTCTCGTCTCACTTTTTTTTTCCCGCTCAACCTGCGTGTTTGAGCTCAGGGCCTCTCATTATTATTATTATAATCATCTACCTATTTTTATTACTGTGAAATAATGTAGTGACCCGCTGATTTTGCCCATCGTTCGGTATAATTCAAGCATCTCCAAATAATATCAAGTCGCCACAAGGGAACATTCAGTGCTTAGTCAAACCTATCACACCTTTAAGTGATCATAAAATGCCACTACAGTCAATTAATGTCTCTTCTCACAATTACACTGCTTATGGAAATCCATTAGTTACTCCGCGCTATACTGCATATACATCCCTGATGCAGTTTCTACATTCGTTGAACTTGACACTCATAAAATAATTAAGATGCATTCATTAGCGATGACAAAATAAAATGCTGAAATGTCAACATTTCGCTAAGATGTCACTGTAACAGGCAAATGCTTCCTGAAATCAATCAATGCATGGTTTTGTGAAACAAGTGAACCTAAGACAAATAAACATTGAGAAATGAACGAAGCTCACTATTAATTAGCGGTTTTAATTACTGCCCCAACTGCGAGTTTCATGATCCACCCTCCCCCGCCCTACCCCCTCACACTCTCCCACCCAACCCCACCATGCTTCCTTCAATGTCTTCTTCCCCCTTTCATGGAATGAAAGAAACCATAATTAGCCGCGATCACTGGGAAGGTCAAGGCCAAAGTGGGAAAGCTACGCCTCAAGAATGGAAACGACTTCGGCGAGCTTCAATCCGTACACGAGCACAGTGAGCTTCCGTTAATGCTGCTGCTGCTACCGCCGCTGCCGCCACTGCCACTGCAGCAAGATTCACAATGCAAGATGCAAAACAAAATGCTCGAAGCATCGTAGTTCAAAAGCGTGACATTATCCAATGAGCGGGGCTGCTGTGAATGCCACCTGTCACGGGGCTAAGATGCCCGGTTGAGCCACGTAGACCTTCAACGAGGCAGCAACGGATTGGGACAAATTTGTGAATTCTGCTTGAGTGAGAATTCGATTTTCATATGAACAATACGAGGGAGACATTACTAATTGGACAATTATGTGCTTTGAGAAGAGTGAGCAATGATACGGTTAACTCGAAGCTAGCAGTGTCACCCACTCTCGTTTGAATGTTTAACCAAGGGAGGTGGCGAGCATTTAAAACCTTGGGTTTGAGTTACCACCCATGAATAAACACAGGTATCTAATGCCAGTGAGTCACCAGTAACTGCACGGTGACTAAAGAGTACACAATAAAACCGATCTAATTAAAACAAATTTCGGACTTATTTCTATATATTTGACCTCTTAGCAATAAAAAAACCCTCCTAAAGTGTAATGCCGCCGCAGCTGTCATTGCTCCTTGACAACTTACTGCATGTACGTGTGTATGTTGAACTTCTTTTGCACAATACGTTCACCAATCTATGGATCACTGTTTGAGTCTACGAGTCTCTGTGTGAGTCTATGGGTCTATATGTGAGTCTATGAGTGTCTTCTGTGTAAGTCTATGGGTCTCTGTATGAGTCTATGGGTCTCTGTGTGAGTATGTATGTAGGTATGTTGAACTTCTTTCGCACCGTACGTAACCAACCGTGCTAATGGGAGGAGCGGGGGAAGGACAACGAACTGGGCGCCCTTCCTGTGGCTCTGCCTCTTTGACCTCTCTGTGTGCTCACTGATAAATGACATTGAATTAACCCTCTCACTCATTTACATTTTGGAGAGAGAAAAAAATGTCAATTAAAATGTTCAATCAATATTAAGAATATGTACGAAGGTTATATTATTTGGGTCTTTCGGTAAAGTCACGTAGATAGGCTCAAAAAAATTACAAAAAACTACGACGTTTCTTTGAACCTATCTACGTGACTTTACCGAAAGACCCAAAGAATATGAATTCCTGCAGTCACGAAAGCTTTAAGTTACGAAGGTTATCACATGAATGTCCACATGTTGTCCATTTCCCCCATGTCCGACTCATAACCTGTTGCTTGCCGTCTCAACAAGTACCTCAAATGAATTCCAGTACCTTAAAAAAAATCTATCTATTCGATTCTTGATTTACAGTAGCTCCCAATCCAACCGCACCGAGAGAAAATGTTTCAATTGTGCAAGCTAGGATTTTTTTTCATTTCTAATTCTCAATAAGTTGCATTATTGAGCTTGCAAGGCACACTCCCAAATTGTCGAGGTTTACCGTGCACATCGTTCGACACTCACCTTCTGCCAGAGCCTCCTCTTGTTCACCACTTTCACCACCATGGTCGGCCTCGCCAGGTACCCATTGTTTTTGAAGGAGAAATCTTGTCCATTCCAATGCACGTTTTTCAGAAACCTAAAATAAAATATAACAGGCCATTTTTTTTTTATGAAAGTACTTTTACATTCAACCATATTAAGTAGTGCAAGAATCACTAATCACCCCTCCCATACTCAATGGATGAATGGATTCTGCCCAATCTCAGCACTGGAGCATGAGCTACAAGCTCAGAGGCAGGGAAGAAGAATACAACCAGTTTTAAATACCTGCGCCCAGAATGGCAATGATCTGGCCAACCCAACCCCACCCTCCCCTCAAAGAAAATCCCTTCCCCTCCCCCCCACCTGCTCTGATGAGTCCGGTGTGCCTGCTGATACCGTCGATGGCCCTGGTAATACCGTCCAGAACGTCAAGATGTTACAATGTATGATACGAGGGAGGATGTGGCATAAAACATTTGTATAGGTTTTAAAAAAAGTACATTTACACTCAGAGCCCGTTCCCTAAGGGTGTACACGTAGAATCGGAGGTGGGGGGGATCGGCGGGGGGCACTGCCCCGGGCCCTGCGTTTTGGGGGTGCCCCCCATACTTTGACGTGACGGTGTCAGATGTAACACTTCGGATTTAGCTTGAAGGCGTTGGGGGGAGGGGACCACATGGTGGAATTTTAAAAACTATAAAAACTATTCTTTATTTTACCAGGTAAGGCCCACTGAGCTATATAGCGCTTTTTCAGAAGCGACCTGGCGATTAAAAATAATAGTCCAACGAAATAGCTGATCATGAGGAAATTTCCAGCAGCTAAATGCTCTAAACGCGTAATATTGATTCTCAATGTGGAGAGAAAAACCGGAAGACCCAGAGAGATCCATGCGGCCACGGAGAAAACATGCACACTCCAAATATACAGCAGGCGTCAGGGTCGAATCGAACCCACGACCTCCTGTATACCAGGCGAGGGAGATAACATCTCCTAGCCAACGCGGTACCCTTGGCCCTGCTTGTGCTGCTATGGATGGCCCTGCATACACTATGAAACATATCTAACTTTTTTTTTACCTCACCGGCTATTAATATAATAATTCCGATCCTTATATTCCACAGTGAACATTTAAGGATTAATAAGATTGGATTTGGGTTTTGAGAAACTCCTCAAGTCAAAGAGCACGGAAAGGTGCACGCTTGGAATTGCACTGAGAGATATGAAGAGGAGAACACGTGGATTTGAGCCAAAATTGTATACAGGCAGTATATTGACTGTTTAAAGAAGTGGGCTCGGGAAGATGTCTGTATGCAGGTGAATGCACGAACCCATTCATGTGAACTCTTGAGTATTATCTCCTTGCGTGCCTGAGTTTTCTCTGGGTACTGATTTTCTCTAAAATATAAAACACTCACAAATAGAATCGCCCAAACATCCCCACTGACCAAAGCATCCCAAAAGCAAGACGCCCTTGAGTCTCCTGTGGGCAAATGTGTTTAAAATATTGATATATGGGCATACGTATCGCTTTAATGAATCAAGAACCAGTTCGACTTCGTATTCTTCTGAGCTGTGAGCATACGTGTAGCAAAGCACAATATGCTCATGCGGTACTAAAGCTCTACTGGTGATGCATAATTATTGTTGGCATATTCATCATTCTTATTGCTATTGTTCATATTATTTAGTGCTGTTAACAGTATGTACTCGCTATTAATGCTGCTATTATCATTACAGTTGTGATGATAATATTAATAGAAAATTATGGTGAATGCATTAATTAAATTAAATCATGAAAACGAACCATAAATCACACAGGTTAATGAGACTGATTAGACGTGGTGGGTGCTGCCAGCAATAATCCCGCATCTATGCAGTGCTCTCTTCTGTGCGTGTGCCTGTATACATGAGCATGCACGATGGTACCTAGTGCAGTGTATAAAACATCACAAGTGGGGAGACAAAGGCGGCCGAGAGTGGCGTTGGCCACCCACCCACCCCCTCGTGTGCCATAGTTCCGGCCTTCTGCAGGTGCTCACTGACAGAATTTTGCCCCAACAGTCTGTTCAGGCTATAAGGGTTGTTTTTTAATGTTTGTTGTTTGTGTGAGCAGCTAAAATGAGTCATATATATCGAAGGCTATTCGATCGGACAATGGGGGGCTCTGAGACCTGCAATTTAGTATTTCACATGTAATCGGTTCCCTAGGCGAGATGTGCCCCCGAGACGCTGCCACACGGAGCACGCTTCAAAGCAACAAAAGCCCGCGTGTACGAACGCCGGGTCCCTGCAGACCCCCTCCCCCCTCTGCCTCCCTCTATCCAACACAATATGCCGCCCGCGTGCCGACTACGCGCTCACACAGCCAACGTGGGGGGAACGGGGGAATTTTCTCCGTGCTAAAAACGTCCGATTTGTGTAACAAGAACAACAAAAAGGCGCAGTTGTGGACGTTTGTATACGCGTTGCCACGGTGTGGGCACACTAGAGGCAGATCAAGAAATGTGCCAATCTTTTAAATAAGGCCCCACATCATTAATATACTGTACTGTACGGTGTACTGTGTTAGGTAAAAAAGAACTTTTGCTGGCTGACTCGCTGGAGCACGGGCGGGCAAGTCACACTGTGAAGACGATCGTCACCCACGTCCCACAGCGTTGAGCCAGATGCGGACGTCGCGCTGACATTCGCACTGGCATCACCCAACCCCCCGCACCAACCCTCCCCCCATTCGCCGTGTATCCCGCGCAATTACGGGGGCAGTGTGAGCGATTTAAAAAAAATACATGTTTTTCTCTCTCAATTGTCAATAAAACAAACTTTCAGGGCCTCAAGGGGAGGGGAAGGGCAGGGAGGAACTACCGCTCCCACCCACCCCCCACGCCACCCTACCCCTTGGAACCACCAAGTTCTCAAAGGTTGAGTTTCCACACCTTAAAGTAAATCACTACCCAAAGAATGAGCACCTCTAAACTTGTCGATATGTACAGAGAGGGTGATTCCCAGGGTGTCCAAAAAGAGTTTGCAGCGTTTATCATAAAGAAAGAATACTTTAAAGTCACAGTCAAGCATGCCCAAGTGAAGATACTGCATCGGCATTGTGCTGAAATGTACGAGTGATGTCGCAGCGATGTCACTGGGATGCTATCACGATGCACCAGAATTGCAACGGATGTTTTTCCTATTAATAAAGCTTCAAGTTACGTTGGACCGACCAGGACAAACAACCCAGGTCTGTGTATCAAGTTTGAACATCCAAGTTACGTTCTGAGCATGTTGTGTTACAGAAGAGGATGTGCCCGGCATGTGTACATTGTTTTCCACCTCTTCAGCGTATAAATATTTGAAGTGACCACTTTGTTGCTTTTAGTTAAAACACTTTCAACAAGAACGGTGCTACCAACATGCACATCCCTACCAGTAGCGCGAATGGTTATTTGATCTTTTAGCAGGCGAAATGTATAGTGTCAGCGTTAGTGTCGCTGCACCACTCACAGCCTGGCCAAGACAGCGATGAACAACAACGTTACGCATTTTACAACGAACGTCTTCTTATTTCAAACTAACAAACATTTTTTATTTCACCAGGTAAGGCCCACTACTGAGGTATATAGCTATTTTTCAGAAACGAGCTGGCTTTCACAAATGAGAGCTCAACGGAGTGGCTTATCACGTGGACATTTATAGCAACCAAATACTATAAACGTATGATTTTGATTCTAAATGTGGAGGGAAAACCCGGAGAACAATCCACATGACAACTGTGAGAGAGACACACAAGCTCTAAATATACAACAGGCATCAGGGTCCGAATCGAACCCATAACCTCTTGTATACCAGGCGAGGGAGTTAACATCTAGTCACCGGTGGCGCCCGAGATAAGCAGGAAAGATGAGGCAAACAACCACCCCCATTTTTCCTCATTCACATTTCCAAAACATATGTTGAGTCATCCCCTTTCTTTGTTAATTTAATGCCATTTGACTTTGTGCTCAATGTGATATGACATCATTCTTGAAATCACAGCACTACGCACAGTACCACAGAAAATTGTGATGCATTGGTTACTGTGTAATAGTAATGCATGGAGTAGTGGTGCAGAGGTTAGCCCATAACGATGAACGCGTCGCCTGAGTTCGGTTCCTGGCCATGGTAAACATCAGTGGTGAGTGATATTTGAATCAGTCTTTAGGTTCACCAACACGCATGAACCAAAACAAAAAAAAAACCCATGGAGATATCTACATCTAGGAATGGAATGCTGAAGGACTGTAATTTATTATTGATATATTTAAAATTATATAACCAGGAAAGCCTTGTTCTTAATAACATTCAGGAGCGTCTTACATTGGGATGTTTCGTCAAATCCATTAGTGAATGTTTGGCATTATTTTGGAGAAAAATAGAAAACCCAGAGAAAACCCAACATCATCATCTCCTGGCCACACCTCATGCCTACAACACCTGGCAAGCCCCGGTGGTCGCCCATACAAGGACTAGCCAGGCTCAAACCTGCTTAGTGTTCAATATCTGATGAGATCTGGCGCATTTACTGGAGATCTCTGGAAAAAATGTTTACAGCTCATCGGATTCCTCCAGTATAAATAAAGATTCTGATTCTGATTTGAAGTCATTCAGTTGTGGGTCGTTGTTTTCATAGCTGAGTACTCTTATCTACACGCAGATAATAACAAAAACATATTTTATTTTGTATTAAACGTCATATATGCAAATTGCACCTAAAATGTGGCAGTAGAATTCGTAGCGTGGCCGGAAAGCCACAGACAAGTGGGAAGGCAGCCAGATACAGTGCCTATATTGGGATGTTTGGCCAACTCCATTCACGAGTGTTTAGAAATAACAGCGGAAGACCGTGGATCCACGAATCCCGATCCGCTCAGCCGTCGTGGATAAATGCATCGGAAGATAAGAGGGGCACAGGAGAAGTTACCACGCAATCCCTTTAACCGCACCTGTGCTCAATATAACCGATCGCGTACAATGTGTCCGCGTGGAGGCAGCGCGATTGCAAATGTTGTGTAATTTCAAAAAACAGGGCAATATCCGCGCAGCCCGGCGCGAGTTGAGCTC